TCCCATGTGAATGGCTCATCTTGGCTCATGCTGCACAATGTCCTAAATCTTCTCAAACAAGCAGCAGCTGGCCTTAGTGAACCCCAGGCCTGCAACAAGCAGGCTTCACAACCTGGCTTTACCTGGGAATCTCTGAGCTCAGCACAAGTTAGCAGCCATCTCAGATTGCTTTACAGCTCAGGCAGGGTGGCCCCCATACAAAACACTGGTGGGGGCTGACCTTGGCCTGCACTACCCAGGAAACCCCAGTGCCAGTGCACCCAGTGGACAGCTACAGACTATGTTGGAGCACCACCACCCTGCTCCTGCACAGCTGATCCTCCATGGAGGGTGGAGGTTGGTGGTCAGTGGTCACAGCCAGTCCTTGCAGCTGACTGGCTTGGGTAAATCCCTCCCATTTACCTACCAACAGCAACCAAGGCTCAAGTATAAGAGGAAGGTATACTCAGCCTACATGAAGGGCACACTTCAACTACCCAGCTTGAGTGATAGGGGAGGCTGTGCCACTGGACCCTACAGGATACCTACTACATTGGGCCATGCTACCAACACATGGAGTCAAAGCAGCTCTACCTAATACATAGAAACAAACACAGGGAGGCTGCCAAAATGAGGAGACAAAGAAACATGGCCCAAATGAAAGAACAGATCAAAACTCCAGAAAAGGAACTAAACAAAATGAAGATAAGCAATCTATCAGATGCAGAGTTCAAAACACTGGTTATCAGGATGCTCAAGGAACTTAGTGAGGACCTCAACAACATAAAAAAGATCTAGTCGGAAATGAAGGATACACTAATTGAAATAAAGAACAATTTACAGGGAAACAACAGTAGAGTGGATGAAACAGAGAATCAAATCAATGATTTGGAACATGAGGAAGCAAAAATCAACCAATCAGAACAACAAGAAGAAAAAAGAATCCAAACCCTGCCCCCCCCAGAAAAACCCCCAAGGACAGTGTAAGCAGCCTGTGGGACAACTTTTAGCAATCCAACATTTGCTTCACAGGGGTGCCAGAAGGAGAAGAAAGAGCAAGCTATTGGAAATCTATTTGAAAAAAATAATAAAAAAAAAACTTTTCCAATTTGGTGAAGAAAACAGACATGCAAGTCCAGGAAGCACAGAGAGTTCCAAATAAGATGGACACAAAGAGGCCCACTCCAAGACACAGCACAATTAAAATGACAAAGGTTAAAGATAAAGAGATGGAGGCTGTGTGGGAGAATAAGTGAGAGGTAAGGAGATTAAGAAGTACCAATAGGTAGTTAAGAATAGCCATGGGGATGTAAAGTACAGTATAGGGAAAGGAGTAGCTGAAGAACTTACACACATAGCCCATGGACATGAACAAGGGTGGGGGGATTGCCTGAGGGAGTGAATGGTCCTGGGTGGAAGGGAGCAAAGAAGGAAAAATCAGGACAACTGTAATGGCATAATTAACAAAATATAATTTTAAAAATAAAAAAATTATGTCTTCATGTGACATATACAAGTTTATCTAAGAGAAAATATTTTTGTAATTGTGACACAGTAATACAAAGTATAATAAACTCTCTCCCTGGCTTGATTTGGGAGTAGGGTATGCTTATTAACTGGATAAAGTGATTAATTCATAGTTACTCTACAATAAAAAATATACCTGATTATCTGATAGTTCATAAAGTATTTTCATGTATATCATCTCAACCAGTTCTTAAAAACACAAAGTAAATTATAAAACCTGACTGAATATTTGATGATCCACTATGAATAGTAATTGTTGTACTTCAATTTCTAAAATATCACCAGTTGACATAATATACTATCAGATAAAAAAAACCTGTACCAGATTAACAAGCCTCATGGAATGGGTGGTTTGTCACTGCTTGGTGCTCAGATTTCATTCAACTTTACAATCCTCACTGGAAATGCACTATAGGAAAGACTTGATTTTCAACAGCATGTTTGAAAGTTATCAACTATGTTTTATAAATCCAACAATACACTGTGTGAGTGTATATATATATATATATATAAATATATTTTTAACAGCTAAAAATACAGGAACAGTGTATACCAAGGAAGCCATTTAAATGTGAGAAATAGTATGTCCTCTTTTCTCATTAGGTAACTCAATACTTCTCTATTTCTCATCTTTTAAAATTTGTGTTTATAAGTACAACACCCTGTTTTTTAGGAGAAGCATTTTGCAGGGAATAAAATGATGGTCAGAGGAGAACAGAGGTACTTAGACAAAGACAAAGGAGAAAGAGGCTTAGATCCCTCATTAGTAATTCTCTTTTGCTGTCTTCCTTTCACTCCCGTCTTCTCACAGCGCCTGTACCAGGCTCCCCCTTCTGCAGAAGGACACCTGTCTTTGATTTGACAATGTGACACGTATTCGCTATAATTCTCATCATCATTCATTTAAAGAAAGCAAAACTGAGTGTATGTGCTTTTAAGAAGGTACAGCAATGAGCTTATACAGCAAAAGTGTATAAACAAGTATATTACCTATGTAATTGCTTTAGCTGAACTTAAAGCTCTGATCTTTAATTGCCTGATTGAACTGATCTAAAAAGCTACAATTTTTTAATCAAGGAAAAAATTAAATAGCTTTTTGGGAAAAAAGGCATCTTTAATCTTATTTTTATGGAATTCAAGTTATTAAATATAGACAAAATCCTCTAAGATATTAAATTAACAACTCAATCTAGAGTAAATTTCTCATTACAATGCTTTTACAAAAGTCTTCAAGAAAACCTTGCTTATTCCACTCTTCAATAAAAACACATGCTTTTAAATCCAGAAGGCAGAAGTTTCCACAAATAACTAGGAAACTGAAAAGCTAAACATATACATGTAGCTAATGAGGTATATTGCCACGGCATATCACCTCTAGAGTTGGGTGCCCATAATTACTGGGGAATAACTGCTCACTTGCACTGTAACTCGTCAGCCTTTCCATCTAGACAAACGCAGCTGCACATCCCCTTACTGGTATTTATTTAAAACTGAAATCCCTTGAGAGGGTTTGTTGGCCCGCTACCACTTCCGCTGCGCAGCCCCTCGCAGGCATTTTATTGTGGGTCACTCTCTGTAGGAACTGGGTCGGTCAGCATAAACTGGAAAGAGAAGTACAAGCTCAGGATTCCTTTAGGAAACCTCCATGTTCTCAGTCAGCCAAATCATTAAGGCCCTGGTCTGTCACTGGTCAAAGAACCTTTTCTCAGCCCACGCTGCCTCGTGGCTGGGGAGAGGGCCCGCCCTGCCTCTGAGGGGCTCCAGTCAACGCCACTGGCCCACAGTGATTATAGGGTGGTGGTTCCGGAAATCTCACCAACCCTTCAGAGTTTATTTTTAGATCCAGACATAAATCCATTTGAAACATGACTATGAAGATCCCACTTCAAATGAAAGATTCAATTACTTCTGCAAAACAAAGAGTAAAACTAAAACCAAATAATTTAGATACAGGAAATACTAGAGGTATATCTATTTATCAGTATCTATTGATATCTGATTTTAAAAAAGAATAAAAAATCACTGTAGAATAACTAAATAGTATTTTCCCATCTACTCTAGTTCCTAGTGCTAAGATTCCTCACAGATTTATTATGAGCCAGAATTGGGCTGTATTTCCAGAGTATAAGATGGTCCTAAGGATCAATTTAATAACAACATTTGCATGTGCATGGCATGGTCCTTCTAATGAAAGCTTTGCTGTTGAGAATTGATGACTTCCTTGAGTTCCTTTGTCAAATGAAGAGCAGATGCCCATAAAAATCAATAAAACGACAAGAACTGACCACTGTGTTAATTCCTATTAAAATGGCTATAATCACTTTATGGGTTGGTGAGTGTGTGGAGGTGGGAACACAGGGAACAGAAGCAATACAAGTCATACTATGTGCACTGCCATTTCTTTTCATTGTGGTGGTGAAAATGCTCCATTTCTCTCCCACCCGCCAATGTGTTTACATGCTTACCCATACCCGGGAAGAGTAACACTAACTCTCCCTACAGTTACATTTGCACCAACTAACACTCTAGAAATAGAGTGGACTAGCTTTAAAAAAAATTTGGTTTACAATTCCAGTTAGTCAGTGTAAATACCTTCAAGAACTGAACTGACACTCTGTCAAAATCTACATGTCCTCTTCAAAAAAGGAAGGAGGAGTTAAGAAATTGTAATCACCAGGATATGAAAAACAAAAACAATCCTTAGTGACAGATGTGGTACTAAAATTGAAGACTTCAGTTGTTTTCTCTCTCTTATAGTTTATACATTTTCTTAAAAAAGAAACAAAAACCAAAAACCAAAAACTTCCTTTAATCACATCTAATGTGTATGCTGCTGCCTTCCCTAAATGTGCATTAAGCTAGGCTGAACAGATGTGGAAAATTAAACAGTACTGTTAGTAACGTTAGGCCCTGAAGTTGCTTTGTTATAATTTGTATCTCACTTATTAACTTGTTCCAAATGAACTCAGACATTTTGGGAACATTAAAAAATACCAAGGGAGGTTCCTTCTGCAACATTCGACAGTTATCTGATTATTCTCCTCACAGGTTCCGTTAACAGACTAGGAGACCAATTTCTGATGCTTCCACCAATTCCTTATTTAAAGGTTCCCTTTCAAGGTATGTGAAGCAATGTCTTAAGGAACTGTGTATGATGATATCTGAAATGTTAAAAAGAAGGGATGCAACTGTACAGAAGTGAAGGTTTTGCATTGACTAGAGTTAAGTAAGAAAAAGAAAATCCTGTCATTTTAAGATAACATGAAATATGTTTTTACTTGTTTGGTAAATATTATTCACAAAAACACAATACCAAGTTTATAATCTGAATCAGAGCATTTGAGTGAGAAAATCAGAAAAAATAACTTTTTTTGACTACCAAATAGATCAGCTGGCTTAAATACTGTATCACTTACTCACTTTAAAAGTCAAGAGATCTGAAGAGCTCCCCACCCCACTCACATTAAGTCCAAGTTTGTAGGCTCAGTACATACCTCTATGTAAAATCTTCAAACTCCACAAATAGGTAAGGCCTTTAACAACCTAAAATCGAGAAAGAGAAAACAACGCAATGATGGTTTTTATAAGGATCACTGTATATCTAAACATATAATCTTATCAACCATAATCTTTAAAAAAATAACTTTACTTATTTTCAGGGAGATGGTAAGGGAAGGAGAAAAAGAGGGAGAGAAACATCAATGTGCGAGAGAAACATTAATTGACTGCCTTTTGCCCACCCGCAACCAGGGACCTGGCCCACAATCCAGGCCTGTGCCCTGACCTGGAATTGAACTGGCGACACTGAGCTTTGTGGGATGAAGCCCAACCCACAGCCTCACTGGCTCAATTATAATTTTTCCTTTAAAACTCTGTCAACCAATAAGCATCTCCCACTTCTGTGTCAGGTTCTGTGAGAATGTCAAATATACAAGCTTCAGGTTCCTTCTTTTTACTGAACTTTCAGTGTTCTGAAGATAAAGTGTGAGAAATGAAAGGGTTAAGTGTCTGTGCATAAAATGACCAGGAAGGACATCTACCAAGTTCTTAGTGGAGAGGGACAGGAAAAAGGGACAAAGACCTTCACTTTTTATTTTTCTGTACTTCTATATATAAATTTTTTTCAAAAGTCATGACATTTATGACCAAAAAGGGACATTTTTAAAAAGTTAGGTAACTAAGGCAACGGCTAAAAAAAGAGATCATTTTTCCTGCCTATAATCTGGAAGCTTTACCAAGGTGCTGGGCTTTGAGTAACTGACGTGAAAAGAAGAGGAGAAAGCATTCAGGCCAAGGTGAAAAAATATAGTCAAAGGACTAGGGAAGTGTATTCTTCAAAAATATCAAGGGCAGGAAAGACACACTGGAACATTGTTCCAGATTAAGAGAGAGTAAAAACACATGGCAGTAAATACAATGCATACCCCTAGACTGGATGCTGAACCAGAAATCTTTTTCCTTTGGTCTATAAAGGTACTAATGGACAACTGGCAAATCTGAACAAGGAATGCTGATCAGATAATAGTAATGTTATCAGTGCTAATTTCCTAATTTTGATCAGTGTACAGTGATAATCTAGGAAATGTACACCTGAAGTAGTTAGGGGCAAGGGGCCATGATGGCTGCAACCTATTCTCAAATGTCTAAGGAAAAAATATGTAGTAGTTTCGATCTGCAGTTGGAAACCCACACATACGAAGGGCCAACTTATGTTACACTCAGATTTTTGTCTGCACAACGGTCAGTACCCCTGAAACCCTGTGTTGTTCAAGGGTCAACTGTGTGCGTGTGTGCAAACAAAAGGTGGTTAATTGTTCACAACTGCAGATTCTGAGTGAACTTGTGGGAACTCTTTGTATTATTCTCACAATAATAATTTTCTGAAAGTTTTAAATAATTTCAAAATAAAAAGTTTCCCAAAAATGTTTTAAATAATATTGGGGTAAGAAATAACAAAGTAGCCCATTTGGCTGATGCAAGTAACAGTGTGCAATCATGTAGACAATACTCAAAAAGCAAGTCAAGGAAATAAAGTGAGAAGATAAACAATAGAATTAGATTTAGATTTCAGAATCCAATAGCCAGAGTTAAGAGTAATTAATCATGGGGTGGTAAACACACAATACAATATACAGATTATGTACTGTACAACTGTACACCTGAAACCTGTATAATTTTATTAACCCATGCCACGCCAATAAATTCAATTAAAAAATTAGTCAAATAAGATACTGAAAAAAAAAAAACCCCAACAACAAACAAACGTATTTCTAAGACCCTAAGTCCATGGGTTGCAAGTGCTACCTTCTAGGTGGGAAATTTAACCATTAAAAGCTTTAAAAATCTTCATATAGAAATTATTCTAAAAAGAGATGTACACATTTTTATTTACACCCACTGACTCGGTACCCACATGAGTGTGGGCTTGCCAATTCCAAGGCTGACTATTCATAATTAGGTATCAGATACAATAAATGAACAGCTATCACTCAAAGTTACTATAAGAATTTAAAAGCACCTATCATTGTAAGAAACTTCAGGTGGGTCAGGACTGTAAGAACAAGAAGGGCTAGCATTAGAAGAAGTTACTGAGTGAGTTACAGTTCTTGAAGTGATGACAAAAGGGTTGGGGGCTTAGTATGCAAGGGTTTCAGTGGTCAAAAACGACTACAAGTAATATTAAAAACAGAAATGCAAAGGGAGAAACCCAACTTCCAAATAGTAAAGGTCTAGAAGAAGATAAAATTTATGTCAATTAATGCTGAGCAGAGGTCAACATGTTTTAATTGTTCTCACAGAGTAGAATGCACAACTGACAAGATTTCCTAACACAGTATAACCAACCCCACAATGTTTGTCTATTTTAAGGGAACAGAATGCTTTTTATAGCAAATGATTTCTTCCAGGGTTTAGGATAAGTGGCATTACAATAAAACACATTTTCTAAACAGTAAGGCTGTTAAAAAAAAGAAAATACCAAAATAGTAATAATGATAACTTGAACACAAAAGGAGGAAACAGGACAAAAATATTTCCTTAAATACTTATAAAAATACTATCAATAATACAAATAGTTTTCTTTTTGAGTAGTAGAACAAGGTCATCTTATTTAGCATGAAGTAATCATCTTCTGAGTTCTGGAAGTAGGGTTAAACTTCTCAATTATAAGCTTCATTACATATTATAAAAGTTTCCCATTAAAGATAACTAAAATTATAAATTTTGCTAGAAATTCAAAAATATAATTATTCTTCCAACTTTGTCAAAATAGACTACGTTTTCCTTTATAAGCATATGAGAATCAAAGTAGAGGGAGCTAGGAATCTGTGGACTGAAAATCTAGAGGGTATCATTGGTATTCAGCAGGCTCGGCCTCGCAACAACGGCCTGACAAAGCCTTGACACTAAAAGTACTTATACCTGCCGTCAATCACTCACTCCTTGACACGTCAAGTGCACATCCTTTCAGGGACAACTTCAATCAACATGAACACTCAAAATAGAGTACACAATGTCACTGCTTCACAAATGAGCAGAAAAATAAAATGTGTTAGATGCCAGGGAAAGACAGGAAGGCATTTGGACAGAAAGGAGACCAAATCCAAATGGAAAGTGAATAAAAATCATGGAGCAAGCTGGATGGCTCAATTCAGTCAGTTTACGTAGATTTCTTTCTCTGGGATAGATATTCTCTTGCCATACATCCTACAAGAGGAAATTTGAATAACATATCATAAAGGCGAACAGGGGTCCATCCTACAATGAACCTCGGAGCTCTGAAGAGTAAAGTCAGTTTGTGGAGGGGGAGATGCCTTGATGTGGTTCTAAGACATGAAAAGAATCTGAGGCGACAGTATGCGCTATTCCATTATTCTCTCATTCATACTGTACTCCTCTTTTTTATTCTATTTCTTTTTATCTTTTTAACCTTGTTCTCCCTTTCACTCCTTCCTCTTCTTTTTTCTCGTTCTCTTAGGAAAGTAGAGTGAAAGAACAGGAGGCCTGGAGTCAAACAGCCCTCGGTTCAGATCATTAATCACTAGTCATATGACAACTCTGGGCAAGTTATTTAACTTTTCTAAACCTCATCTTATACATGTATAAATATGTACAATAACCTACATGTTTTTTGCAGAATTGTTTTGCAGACTGAATGACAATATTTGTAAGCAAAACACTTATCAATGGTTGGCACAAGAAAGTATTCACTACACACCTATTTCCCTCTTCTCTATAATTCCATTCATTCTGATTTGAAAATGGTGCCCATTGTGGTTTCTTGGCCTCACTGAGAGAACCGAAGGGAACGATGCCGAAGCTGTCTTCCGAACATAACAGGAGAGATAAGCAAGGATACCAGAAATCCAGTCAGGCTAAGGGGATGTTTACTTTATAAATCATGGCCTACAACCCATCAATTTGCTAGTCTTACTTTGGCTAGTAATTCTTCCATTGGTTTTTGTCAGCTGCAACAAAGGATTATTCAAGTTTGTAGCCTCCTCAAATTACATTAAAAAATACACTTTGCAGGCATTACACAAGCTTAGGCCCCAGGAGAGTTTTATAAAAAGTGGCAGATGAAGAGCAAAATTATCAAAAGCATTTTTCCTACTCTTGGCCACAGGCAGTTTTCATTACTACGACCTGATGAGCCATAAAAGTTGGAGCAATCGGACACATTCTAGAAAGAAAAAAAATCCTCCTAATTTTTAAAAATGTAAGGGCAAATGTAAACAATGCTTTGGGCTAGCACTTATTTTAAATGCCTTTCACTAAAATAACTTTTGTCTTATTTTCAGTTACCCAACAGGTAAGCCCTGTATTTGAAACTGGATTATTGTTACTGTTATTATTCTCCCCCCCACTCCACTGACTTCACTGGCTCCCCACCCCAGCAGAACTTGAGAAGACCAGTGGCCTTGTGTGGGTGCCCGCATATAGGAAGGTAAGACTTATGAAGTCCAAGAAGGGCATGCTCTTCTACTGAAGGGGGCAGGTTCCTATTTTAGTCAAGTTCAATAGATAATTGAATATATAGAACTCATATACTTTTTTCATTTTCAAATGGTATTCTTGCCTTCCCCCTCTTTTATTATACATGTTATTAAACATTAGAGCCAAGAACTGCCAAAAGCCACAAAGAATTCAATCCCCCCCACGAGATTAAAAGAGGAAAGGAAACATTTTTATTTTCATCTAAAATAGTGATTTAAGTACTCAAATTTCATACTAAACTAATCTGCCTAAACATGTAGATTAGAAGCTACTTAACAGCAATAGCATCAGAAAAGGAAGTGCTCATCACCCTGGGCAGTTCACACAAATAATTAGGAAGAAAAAAGGAAAGCTGTGAATTACAATGAACTAAAACTAAATAAGTGTCCACATTGGATTAAAGGATTTGAGTTGACAGTCTGAAGTATAATGAATGTGAAAAGCAGCCATTTAATTAAATGGTACGTGGTATAATCACTTTGCTCTGCATTAAACTGCGTGCATTATCAAACCTTTAGTTTAGCAAGGGTTTACCATCACACCACCCGAAGACTTCTCTCAGACACTGCTTAACCTACATCATTCCACATTTGAGATCTGGGGCTTATATAGTAATTTAGTTTAGTTGCTATATTTCCTCAGTTTATTAGTGAATATGGAAAATAGAGAAACTGCTTTTGATCCCAAAGAAAATAATCTTAGATGTAGTGGGTGAAAAAAATGAAAACCCAAGAACATAAACAGTCTGCAAAAATCTTTAAAAATAAAGTAGTATTTTCCTACACACTGTTTTATTTTAATAACTTAGACTTTAAAAGCATTTTCTAATATGCCTATAATTATAAAATGTCCACAAACTAGTTTTCTTTTTGAAGAACACGGAAATTTTACTGGTGAGCAAGAGCACTGAGGTCCCTGCAAACACAGGAAACCAGAACAGGTGAGAGTACCTATCACCCTGAAGGGTGTCATGTGACTGTGAACTTACTGCAGGTTGGTCTACGAAAGGAGAAAGCACAAACATGATAAGAAAAGAAGGTTAAGGAGGCCCTCGCTGTCAGTAGGAATTGAAGAAAACAAGAACATCCTGAGGATAGAAGGAGAATAAGGCTTGACTGGAGATGAAACCACCCAGACTGCATAAGGTTGAAGCCATGTACTCACAGCTACTGCAATCCTTCCGAGGACGTGCTCTGGAATTTTTCTGTACACATCCAAAGATCCCCCTGTAGAGACAAACATGCTGTGTTACTACAGATGAAATGACCAGAACAGCGCACTGGGCCTCTCCTCTGTGCATTCTTTGTGAGAAAACTTTTTTCTCATGTATTAAATGTCTGGGATAAAATTGGTTTTTGTCCAATTTTATTTATAACAGGGGTGTCAAACTCATTTTCACCAGGGGCCACATCAGCCTCATGTTTGCCTTCAAAGGGCTGAATGTAATGTTAGGACTGTATATATGTAACTACTCTTTAACTAGGGGCAAGGAGCTCGGTGCTGCTGCCAGGTAGAAACAAGGTGCCGGGCCAGATGAAACAAGGTGGAAGGCCGGATTCAGCCCAAGGGCCTTGTGTTTGCCACCTCTGATTTATAACATAATCATGCTTCCAGATGAAGCATAACTAGATAGATACTTCCATTTTATTCCCAAGTGTATAATCATATACACATAAATACTGAAGAAAACTAGTCAATAGCAGGCTAAGAAACTGTACTTTATGTAAACTTAAGTACATAGACAAAGCTGAAGATCAACAGGACAGTCACATTTAGGTATCTGCCTGTGTAACAGTTTTCTCAAATGTAAACTGGGACCCTATCTTCAATTTACCATTAACCAAACGAAAGTTGTGAATATAAGATCCAAAATGCACACAAAATCGAACAAAGTACTAACGTTAACATCTACCTACATGAACAATACCCTTCAAACTAGTTACCAAGACAAGCAATCAGTGTCTTCCAAAGACACTATCTCAGTTCAAATGGGTTTTGTTTTATTTTTATTTTTTTGAAATTCACTTTGATAACACTTTGAAAACCACTTTATGGGACAAAAAAGAAAAACCAATCTCCCATGTCATAACATTTTTCACTGAAATGCTATTCACCAATACCCTTAACCTTTACCAGTTCAGCTTCTAGCAGTTTCTAAAAATCCAAACCACTAGATCAGGAACATCGCAAAGGCAAGGGCCATGCTGTTTGCTTGTTTGTTTTTAAGTTTCCACCAACCTGGAAGTTAGCACAACTGACAAATAAGGGATATTTAATAAGTATCTGACAGATGAATAAATACATAAATAAAATTAACCATGAATTTCACCAGATAAACATCGTTGTTCTCAGAGAAGACAAGAGACTGCGAACCATTTGCAGCACCAATAACATCACTGAAACAACTGTATAACTTTCTTCAGTAACTATTTTGAAGAAACCAATATTCTCTTGAAAGTATACATTTGGGTACGCTCATTAATTTTAGGAAGATACTCAAAGAACCACTACTTTACTCATATTCATGATGTGATTACTTGAGAACTGTTTCAACAATACGTGCTAGCTTTCCTTGCAGTCAAATTGAGGTGAACGATCTTTCAGTTTACAATGGAATTACTCAGGATATTTGGGAAATAACTTTTTTCTATCAGAGGTTAAATATGAATTTTTAACCTCTACTATACTATCAGATGATTTAAAAATATACTTCACAAAGGATTAGCATGGAAGATGTTATTCTACTGAAATGAACTTGTCTATTTTGCAAAAACAAAAATTTTATATGTCAAGGTTTTCTAAAGCTGAATGTCAGAGAAAAATACTAAATAATTTTTCCTGTAAAAATATATAAGTAAAAGTACTGGTTTTATATTTCTTTAGGTAACTTTGCCTTGTAGCTTCCACATTCTGACCAGATGCTGGAACACCACAGTGACTCAAACCTGTGCTTTGGCTCTGGGTACCGCTGGGAAGACACTGAAAAAACACACTTCCGCAGGAGCTGAACCATCTTTATTTACTAAAACAGCATTTTTATTATAGATGCAATAAAAGTTAAAGTATGGTAGAAAAAATGTTATGTTCTCATTGATTTTCAGATGAATTGGCAGTTGCAAGGATGAACAGTCTCAAGAAGATCAAGCTTCACGTGTTGGTATCTGGAATACTGACAAATGCCGTTTATCGCACCGATCCCTTGTGAACAGCTTGACTGGCCCAAAACTAGGAGGTGGAAATTCACTCACATATACTGGTAAGTCCTAAGAGGAAATTTATTTTTATGTAGGATATAAATCAGGGCTTAATTATAATTAGCTGAACAGACAACATTCAATAAGCTAAACAAAAAGCCGAAGATTATATTAGTACCATTATCAGTAGAACAAGTTGAAAAGAGAATCCTATTTTGAGGTAGTTCACTGGTTTTTGTAATGTCCATTTAATCTCTGTTAATCCCACTCTCCTTAGCCATCCATACAGGTAAATATTTACACCTGGCTTTGTGTCATCACAGATTCATCCTGTCCTTGACATACTTGTTAGAGATAATCGTCAGAAGCAAAATGAATAAATGAAGAGAAAAGAAAAAAGATGTGGCAACTCATTCAGAATTAAGAGGTCCTGTTAAGCCTGATGAGTTCTCTTTGTGCAGTTAAATAACTCTTACTAGGTTAACAGTGCCAGGTTTTCAGTTAAACTTTTACTCAGTTCTACTGAGTAATTTCTACCCTATAGGCCTATTCCCAAAAGGCAATTTTTAGATTCATCAAACCATCAAACATTCGTGCTGGAGGGGCACTAAAGGTCACTGCAGTGACTTTATTTGACAAGTGGAGGAAACTGTGTCACAGAGAAGTGAGTATTCTAGCCATGACCATGAGTCAGTCGAAGGCAGAGCTCAGAAAAGATCTGAGCTTTTGAACTCCTAAAACTGCAAAGGTCTAAAAGGTTTCCCTACAACGTCACATAGCTTGAGAATCACATGTGAACTTTTTATAGTTTAAAAACTCTCACTGAAATGTGCTATTATGACATACAAGAGGTCTGCCTGGAGAAAGTCCAGCCATTGTTATTATAATGAGAATGGTCTGTGTGACATTGATGTAACCTGGCAACCAAGGAGAGTGGACTTGAATGCGCATGTGCAGCCAATGACAACTTCACTGTACTAGTCAGTGGGGGCAGTTGACTGTGTGTGGCTGCCACATTCAAAATGAGCAGTAGAGGGATAAATCTGCATCAGATTTTGTGTTAAGCTTAAACACTCCTGAGGAAACTATTCGGATGATTCAGAAGGCTTTCAGGGATGATGCAATGAGTGCAGTGCAAATACAAGTGTGGCACAAACACTTCAAAGATGGTTGAGAATCTGTTGAAAGTGATTCACGTTCTGGAAGGCCTGCAACAAGCAGAACACCTGAGAATGTTGAACATATATGGGCTGCAATCAACAAAGACCAGTGACTGACAGTTCAAGAACTAGAAGGTGATCTGGGGATTCCAAAAGATACTTTGTCCCAGATTTTGATGCAGGCAGGATCTTGGCATGAAATGTGTTGTGGCAAAATTCATTCTGTGGCTTCTGCTACCAGAGCAGAAGGAACATTGTGCTGTAGCTGCTAATGACTAGATTCAAACTGCTATCAATGAACTTGCTCAAGAAGGTCATAACTGGAGATGAATTGGGGGCCTACGGATATGATCTGGAAACAAAGGCCCAGTTATCCCAATGGAATCTGCCTGGTTCTCCATGCCAGGAGAAGGCACAGCAAAGTTCAAGACCACGTTAGCTGTGTTTTTTGATCGGGAAGGTGTTGTCCATCATAGGTATGCCCCTCCAGGCCAAACAATTAATACAGAGAACTACCTCAAGTTCTTCATTGGCTGAGAGATACAGTACAACTAAAGTGGCTGCAGTTACAGGCATTGGTGACTGGCAGCTTCATTACAACATGCCCACTCATGCATTATGTCTTGTGTAGAGTTTTTTGGTGAGACATCAAATCACCCATGTTACTCAGACCCCCTTTTGCTCAGATTTGGCACCCTGCGACTTCTGGCTTTTCCCAAAACTAAAATCACCTTTCGAAGGGCAGAGATTACAAACCATAGATGAGATTCAGGAAATACAACAGCGCAGCTGATGGTGATTCCAAAGAGGATTCTGCAGAGTGTTTTAACATGGAAGAGATACTGGGAGAACTGTGTGAGGTCCCAAGGTGCCTACTTTGAAGGGGACTGAGGTGTCATTGTCTTATGTACAATGTTTCTTGTATCTTCTTCAAGAAATGTCTCTATTTTTCATATAACATGGCTGGAGACTTTATGGATAGACTTTGTGTACTCAGAAAGATAATCTAATCTTAGCTGAGATGTTGGTATTCTGGGCCTTTAGAAACTCACTTATCTGTGGCAGAGTTAGTATGAACTGCTTGCTCATGATTCCGAAGGCACTGGTTTGCTACCTGTGACCAGTCATTTCCCAGTGTCCCCTGGCCTCAGATCATCCCTAGCCCATCATTTCATTGCATGCCACTGTCTGCACAGGAACCAGGAGGAAGAGTGCTAGCAGATCAGCAAAAACCAATCTCAGCTGCCAAACAACTACATGATTCTGCTGAGGAATTCGGGCTATCACCTTCACATAACTAGACCAAAAGGACTCACAGGGTAAGGTATATGCTGATCCTAATACAGAATCTAAAATAGAATGTAGTGTATTGTATGTAAACAAAAATGAACAAGAAGCAACATTTTCCCTAAAATAACCATAATTATTATTAATAACAAAACTGAAATCTGAACCCATAAACAAAAATTGCAGAGTAAGCTAACTGAAGAGTAAGCTAGTGTTTGCTAACTGAAAAAGTAAAAAGCCCTTTCTTTCTTTGCAACATGGGTTTTTGGGAAAACAATTTATTCCCATGATGGTAATCCAAACACAGACGCGCGTATTCTCAGATGCATTTGGGTGTTTCTTAGTGGATTTAGTTTTGACTTAATGAGAAGGCATGTCACACACTCCCCTGGAAGATAGCACTGGCAATTCTGTCTTTATTCCACCTGACTTGGAGCTTGCCTAGTACAAAAAGCTTTCTCCTTAGGGGCATTTGTTGAAAATAATAAGCAGCAATTGATTAAGTTTGTAACTGACTGAAGTGGTGGCTAACAGTTGAGGTAAACAAGAGCTAACCAAAGACATTAAAAGAAAAAGCTGGGGAAT